AATAGTGTTCCATGTCTTTAGTTAATGTTCTGAGCACTTCATTTGAAAAAGATAAATGATTAATTTAACAGGTTAATAACGTATTCGAAAAATGGATATATACAGTCGGGTAAATCAAACGAGGTGTAAAATTTTTAAATGGATTATTTATATTATATGTTACTGAACATTTATATTCGGAGTATGCATGCGTCGTCTGATTGATTATTTCTTAGAGCCTAATTGCTAAAATAATATTTTTATATTAAAATACATAAATAATGTAGGTACAGAGTATTCGCAGCCTTCTTCGGTACATGGCAAAATGACGGAAAACTTTCCGAATGGAATCAACGCTATATCGATAGGTGATAGAATGAGTTACCTATTAAAAATCAATGATATTTTCACGGTACCGCATCAGGAAACCAGTACATCAAAACACTATGGTAGTAACCAAAGTACGCATTATATTTTTATTATTATTGTATTCTAGAAAGAAAGAATCAGATATACACAGTTCAGGTATATCATTCCAAACGAGAAAGAGATCATTTTTTGCTAACACTAATGTGAAATCAAACTTTGTAACGATACATTCCGGAAACATCGATATAATTTAATAACTCAGCCTAATCTCAACCATTTTTTAAGTGTTTTTCCGTATCTTTTTCTTTAATTTTTGGTATCTTGGCAAAGACAAACTGCGAGGCCATTCAGAGATGGCAGCTCAGAAAGTGTACCACACACATTCAAACAATTCTTTAAAGACTAGTTTATAAATATAGTTTTGTAAATTATAATAGTACTGAATATACATAAAGAATTATTATAGTTCTAATAAGTAAATGAGGCGCATAAATTCATTTATGTACTACACTATTATTAACTCATGGATTTGTATCCTTTATTCTATGTTTATTTGTTTACAAGATATTATCGAGAAAGAACAATTTAAATACACATTTGAAAAGATTTAGATTTATATTTAGATTCACAGCGAATACATCGTCACTGTTTATATACCGAATTGGTAGAGCATTTATTGCTTTTGTTCATTAACAGCTGACGGACTATTAATCTTTAAAGAATTAGGGGCTACGAAGATGTTCGAAATTATAGCATCAGTATGCTCCGGTGTGAAAGACCCTGATAATGGTATCATCATCAACATGGACTACGAGGTTTAATTTTACAACAATATTTTCTCAAATCAAACAAATATTTTTGTCCCACGTTTGAAATTCCCTTATTTTCATTTACTATTCTGTTTTAAGTTCACTGTATACATTGTTTAAAATAACAGCATAATA